TCTACAAAATGTTAAGACTTTATACATAGGTTTTTTTGTTTTTTTTTTTTTTTGCTACACTTAAGGAAAGTCTAACACAAGCATAAAATTCTTAAAACCAAACCCACTGCGGAGTCAATTCTGACTCATAGCAACCCTACAGGACAGAGTAGAACTGTCCCATAGAGTTTCCAAGGATGTAATCCTTATGGAAGCAGACTGCTGCCACATCTTTCTCCCGAAGAGCGGCTGGTGGGTTCGAACTGCCGACCTTTCAGTTAGCAGCCGAGCACTTAACCATGGCACCACCAGGGCTCCTATAAAATTATTAGAGTATTATTAATTACAGCTTTAAGAAATTGACTTTTGTGTGTAGGAAGAAAATACACTGAAGAATGTTCTATGTTTTCCTGTTTTAACAAAGACGACTGTTACAGTTGAAATTAGTTTTGAGGGACCTTTTTTTTTGTATTCAGAAAAACCTTGTTTGTGTGATTTATTTCCCCCCACCGTTGCATGTTTTAATTTGAATTAGTTATTATATAAAATTCACTTAATACCTCACTAGAGGTAGAGATACATATGTATAGAGCACAGAATATGGTTCCTGCTTCAAAGAGCTCATGGTCTAATAACATACAACCTGAAGGAGCACTTAATAAGGAAACATTCAAATTACTGAGCTGACAAAATAATATGAATGATCTATAGTAAGACCAGATTAATAAAGCTTCTTGGCAAAAATAATTTTTTATCTAGATTTTGAAGAAGTAGTATGTATAGGTTGGTAGAGAGGGAAGGGGATGTCAGCTACAGGAAAAAGCATGTTAAAAAGCACAGAGATGAGAATTGTAGAATGCAGTCATTTTCCGTGGCTGAAGTACAGTCTGTTTTAAATGAATGTAATGAAAAGTAAACTTGAGAAGATTGTGACATGAACTGGAGGAATCTAAGAAGCTTAATTTAGACATTAGAAATACAGAATTCTACAGAAGGCCATTGAACAGAATTATATGAAGAAAATTGAGAGAGATTTTGCAGCCAGGTAGAACGTGATTGGAGAAGAGACTAAAGTGAGGAAGACCAGTTAGAGGTTATTATCCTTGTCCAGGGCTGGGGGCTTGGAGTAGGGGAATGGTGTATGAATGGTGAGAAAGAGTCATTTTAAAATAAAGCAGGTATATTGAAACTCGTAAGTTTGCAGTTGTAGGTTAAAATAAGAATGGAATAATTTTATTATCTTGTGGTATTAGAAATAAATTTATTTAGAGGTACAATTTCCATGTGAGTTATTATCACTAATTGAGATACATATGCCTTTTTTTAAATTAAAAAAACTGACTTGAGTCTTTTTCTGTTAAGTTTGGTTTGAAAACTAAAATCCAAGAAAGTTATGGTATAGTGGTATTTTCTAAATTGTTGGTACTTTTAAATAAAAGGTATTTGAGATGAGTAGTAAAAAGGGCTTGTAATTATAATGCTGAATTTTGAGTTATAGTACATTTTAGCTATGGTTTTAGAAATACTCTAATTGGTATAGGGGCTTATGAGTAAAGAGGAGATAATTATCTGGAGTACTTGTGTTTAAATTTGATTTTAAATAGACACTTGTTTAAAATATACTCAGCTTTTATAAGGAAAAAATACCTAAAATGTAGTTTCCTCTGTGTAGTAAATATTTTTTGATATTAAGATACAAGATGTTTTGTCATTACTGGAGTTTTTAATAGTTCCTAAATTGTCTATATATTATGATTTATAATAATTAAAGACCATCCTTAAGATAGAAGAATTAGAAAAATATGAAAATTACAGAAGTAACAATTAAAAAATATTTTTCTGCTTTTATTAGAGTTTAAAAATATAGAGAAGTTTGGGAGTTAGTACAGTCTCGGTTTTAAGATAGTATGTTTTATTATAACAAGTTTACATTTTTACTCTTCTCACAGTTAATATAGCTTAACTTCAATCAGTAAGGAAGTTAATAATGAGGTTTCTGGGAACATGGAACACTAGGAAGGTACACTTGACTCCTTCAAGTTTCCTGTGGAGGCAAATTAGCCAAAGCAAAAGAGAATATATTGTCCCTTGCAATTACTGGAAGGAGTCCTGGTGCAGTGGTTAAAGCAATTGACTGCTAACTGAAACGTTGGTGGTGTGAAACCACCAGTGGCTCGACAGGAGAAAGATGTGGCAGTCTGCTTCCCTAGAGATTTACAGCCTTGGAAGCTGTATGGGGTCACTATGAATTGGAATTGACTCGACAGCATTGGGTTTGGTTTTGGTTTATAATCACTGGGAAATAGAGGTTGCATCTTCATCACTGAAATTTAGAGTTTCTGCATAGATAGTATGGTTGAAAAGGGGTGATAGCAGAATTATCTTCTGTTCCTGATTGACATGAACTGGTGCTATGGGAGTAGGAAGCTTTCCTGAGAGCCCTGCCCCAAACTTCTTGCTTAAGTAGTTAGTTCCCTGTTTATATTTCTCTGTGGCTCCAGACTTCTTGGGAATAGACCTACCTCACCTGCTCACTCTGTCTTCGGTCCCTGTAAACTGAAAAGCAATGAAAAACCACTACTCGCATGAGGGTGTGTATATATATATATATACATATACACACATACCAGTTGTGTTTTCACAAATAGTGCGCCCGTGTAAATAATGTGTGCACACGTACAACATGTGGAAATGATAAAATTATGTAAAAAAAATTTTGACATAGTGCATCCATGCATATACTGCACACATCCTGTGACATTTCCAGAAGTGAATTTTGGCCTCATTCACCCTCATTCAATTGTCCGAAAATATTACTTTTGATCATATTTGTATAATAAAGTTATAAGCCACAGTCAAGAAGTCATGGATCAAGTTTGTTAGTATCCTGGTAATTGGAAAATGAACAATTGAAACTGTGTGTTTGTTTCTTTTAATTTAAGTTGATAATTATAACCCTGTCATTTTTGAGTCATCAATCAGAGCCTTGAACCTACTGAAGCCTGTTCATAAATAATGTGCTATCAATTGGAAATGTAAGTAAAGTGAAGCCTGTACCAGTGTAAATGGCATTGAGTAGCTATCCATAGGAATCTGAATTCAATCTGCGTTGACATAATTATCACAGTTGTCTTCCAACTCTGGCTTTTAATTGGAGGAGTAAACAAAGCAAAACTGATACACGATCGCTCTTGGCTAAACAGTTGAATGCAAAAACCTTATCAAATCATCTTAAATGAAACCATTAAGGTATGTTAGGTTTGCTTATTTCATAGTCTAATTATGTCTTATTAGCACCAGTGTCTTGATTAAAGATCGTGGTAAGTCACTTTAGTCATATGCTTGCAAGCATATAAAAAGGCCCTTGTTTCTTGTACACCTCAAATTTGAATTTTGTGATCTCTTTACTAGAACCAGCCAGTTATCAATTATATTGTGCACATTGTTTCAGTTTATAAATCTAAATCTTAGAACCCTTTAGGATCATGGCTGAGATTACAGGCAAGTCTTAAACACCTCTGACTTCAAACTGAAAGTCGTTGGGAGGTCGGAAAAAATAAGCAACCAGAGTGGCAGCGAGAGAGTTGAGGTTGGAGAGTTGTCCGTTCACAAAAGGAGAAGAAGGGGCTGGGGAAAGTGAATCCACAGAAAGGCGCATGTTGTGGGCCCAAAGCGAAATGACCTGAGTTGGAGAATGACTTGAAAAAGTGGATTATTTCTCAAAGGGAACAAAATCATCCTGTCTCTACTGTCGCATTCAGATCAAAGTGAAGTTTCTGACAAATGAAAGAGGAACCTCAGATTTCAAGGCGGATTTCACCTGGTTTTCTAAATTCAGGAAGAAGAATGGCCTTTCTGTGAGAATGAGAACCACTGATGATGATAATGAATGAATAAACTAAAATGGCCTACTTTAAGATGAAAACAGTTTCTTCTGGTGGCTTTTGTTGATATCAAAGACATTGATTATCAAAAATTGTTTCAGTTTAAGATTTATGAAAGCAATAAAATATAAACAACATCTTGTTCTTATAGTTTTAGGCCTACGATAATTTCTTACTAATTTCTAGCTCTTCGTGCATTCCTACTCTTTGGTTTCAACATGGTGTCCCGTTTCCATCTCGAGCCCACTCAGTTCACCATTGGTTGCACTTGTTTTAGGAAAATACCTGCCTTAAATGAAGTTTACTTGAGATCAGTTTTATCCCGCTAATATTAAATCTGTTGGACAGAAAAAAAATTGAAATTTAAGTTAGTAACTTGTAAAAGGGTACTAATATAGCACGCTTATGAAAATAACGCAGGGGTTAGGGGTGTGGTTTGCAAAAAACAATACATGCATTATTTGCATAAAACTATGGTATGTATGGCATGAGGTAGCAGCTTGAAAGGAGTGGGGTCTACGAAAGTCAGTATAAAAGTCTATAAAAAGTAAGCAATACTTCTGGTGCCAGGAAGGATCTCTTACCTTCCTCCATGTTTCTCCTCTAATACTGAATCCAGAAGGTCTCTACTTGAGAGCACTAGGCACAGCTGAGGTTAAGGGCATCATACTAAAAAATGGAGAACTAAGTGGAAATCTCTGTTGAACTGGAAATTATCCCCAGCCTTTTCTTCCCCTCCCATCTTTGAGAAAACTGGCTGTCAGGCTTCTATCCCAGATCTGTGACTAGAAGAGTCATCCTGTTATGGAAGACTGACAAAATGAGGAAAAAAGACTGAAAGATAATGACAGAGGGAGATCCACCAGAGAAATGGCCCAAACTGATCATCCTGCAGTAATACAAACCCATTAACACAATTTTTAGGCACCTTTGAGTGCCTTATTCTTAAATATGAGATCAAGGATCATTAAATGTTTGAAGATAACCCCAGTATGAAAGAGAAGAAGGAAGTAGAAGCAAATCAAGAAGCAGAAGAAAACTTTTAAAAGAGTTATTGATATCTTAAGGGGATATTGTATTCTTGAAACAAGAACCGAAACCCAAACCCACTGCCATCGAGTTGATTCTGACTCATAGCGACCCCATAGGGTTTCCAAGGCTGTAAATTTCTACAGAACCAGACTGTCACGTCTTTCTCCCGTGGAGCTGCTGGTGGTTTCAAACTGCCAGCCTTTCAGTTAGCAGTTGGTTGCTTTAACCACTGCACCACCAAGGCTACTTTGAAACAAGAAAGGATGCTATAAAAAAAGAACGCTCAGAAAACAAAGAGCTCTTAGTGATTTAGAATATGAATACTTAATAGAAGGTTGGAGGGTACAGTTGAGCAAATCGCCCATGAAACAGGACAAAAAAGAGACATAAAATAGGAGAAAATCAGAAAATTAAATTAGATTACACCACATACAAGTTCAAAGTATGAATAATAGTTTCAGTAATATACAAAAATTCTGTGTAGCTCTACCTTTTGTGTTGGTATTGTCATACAGATTACATCTTTTATTTTTGTATGCGGGTCACAGATTTATAATTACTGCTTTATGCAGTTTTTAAAAATCAGGATCAAACAAAAAATACATTTATTGTCTTTTATGTTTACCCACGTAGTTATCTTTACCATGCTCTTCTTTAGGTGGATTCAAGTTATTGTCTAGTGTCCTTTCGTTTCACCGTGAGGGACATCATTTAGTACTTCTTGTAGGGCGGGTTTGCTAGTGACCAGTTCTTTCAGTTTCTGTTTATATGTGAATGTCTTAATTTCTGCTTCATTTTTGAAGATTAGTTTTGCCAGATACAGAATCCGTGGTTGACAGATTTTTTTTTTCCCCTTTCAGCACTTTGAATATGTCGTCTTTCATGTGGCCATGGTCTCTGATGAAAAATTGGCTGTTAATGAAGATCCCTTGTATGTGATGAGTCACTTTCTCTTGCTGCTTTTAAGATTCTGTGTTTTTTCTTCTGACAATTTGATGATGATGTGTCTAAATGTAGATCTTTTTTGGGTTTATCCTGTTTGGAGTTTGTTGACCTTGCGTGCGTACACTGATGTTTTTCATTAAATTTGGAGATTTTTTGACCATCATTTCTTCAATTATTCTTTCTGCCTCTTTTGCTCTCCTGTCCTTTGGACCTACCACATGTATATTAGTATACTTGACAGTGTTTCACAGATGTTAAAAGGCTCTGTTGCTGTTTCTTCATTTGTTGTTCTTTCTGTGCCTCAGACTGGATAATCTGAAATAACCTATTTTAAAGTTTGCTGATTCTTTTTTCTGACTTTTCAAATCTACAGTTGAAATCCTCTAGTGAATTTTTCATTTCAGTTACTGTACTTTTCAACTCCAGAATTTCTATTTGGTTCCTTTTGATAATTTATGTCTTTTTGATATTCTCTCTTTGTGAGACATCCATTTCATCCTTTCTTTTAGTTCTTTGAATGTATTTAAAATAGCCAATTTAAAAATCATTGTGTAAGTCCATTGTCTGGGCTTTCTTCACGGACAGTTTCTGTTGACTGCTTTTTTCCCCTATGTATGGGCCTTACTTTTTTGTCTTTTTGTTTTCATGTCTTGTAATTTTTTTGTTAATATCTATCTTTTAAATAATGTGGCAGCTCTGATAATCAGATTGTCTTCTGCTCAGGGTTTGTTGTTGTATTTGTTCAGTGACTTTTCTGAACTAATTCTGTATTCTTTGTCATGTGTGGCCACTGAAGTCTCTGCTTCGTTAGCTTAGTGGTCAGCTAATGATTGGACAGATACTTCCTTAAACACCTAGAACAAATAAGTCTCCCAGTCTTTGTTGAGGGGCTCTGTGCGTGTTGGGGTACACCTTCAGTGCCCAGTCTGGCAGTTTACATCTGTTCTTTAGCCTTCACTTCCTATTCGTGCAGACCCTCAAGGTTAGCCAGAGGTGTTTGCTTAGGTCCTTCTCCAGTCTTTCCAGAGCATGCGTACAGCCCTGAGCATGTGCATAGTCCTGTGCATGCACATGGCCTTTTTGATCTCCAGGAATATGTCAGAGCTTTCAGAGCCTCCTGTGCATTGCTCATTCTCCAGCTTTTCTTTTTAAGCTTTTTGGTTGGCCTATTGTTTGCTCCAGCTGTTATCTACTGTGTTGAGCAACTGCAGTCTTCAACATTGCCTCTGATTGTTTTTGACACATGCCCACTTAAAGGCTTTTCTCACTGGGTGAACTCAAAATCAGGTCAGATTCAGACAGCCTTGCAAGTAGAGTCTCTGGAAACCACTAGACCTGTCAAATAATGACAGTTCTCTGGGAATGGGGTATTGAAGAAGTTCTAACTCTCTTCTGTCCCCTTTGGTGACTGCCAGGATGCTAGTTTTCACCAGAATTCTGGACTGTTGATTTTCAAAGCTGCTGGGGTAGGAAGGGATGGGAATAGGGCAAGTTAAAATGCAACAAAACTCTTTGGTCTTACTGAGATTCAACCATCTTCAATAAACTCTCGCCAGATTACTATAAGCCTTTGGTTAATTTCCAGAGTTCCAGAAAAGTTGATTTGGTGATTTTTGTCAGTGTCCTCATTGCTTTTATGGAGGAGATGATTTTTGGTGGTCCTTATTTGCCATTGTCACTGATTTCCTACTTTTGAGGTTTTTTTTTTTTTTTTTCCCAATTCTCTTTTAAAATAATATTGTGTTTTCTGTGAAGGTTTACACAGCAGTTTAGGTTCCCATTCAACAATTTCTACACAAATTGTTCAGTGACATTGGTTGCATTCTTCACAATGAGTGAACTTTCTTATTATTTCCATTCGAGTTGTTCCTGTTTCCATTAATTTAGTTTTCCTGCCCCCTTACAGTCTCATCTTTGTTTTAAAGTAAATGTTGACTGTTTGGTCGTGTATAGGTGAATTTTTAAAGAAGCACAGTATTACGGGTGATATTCATTATTTTGTGAGCCAATCTGATACTCAGCTACAAAGTGACTTCAGGGGTTAGCTTTGGTACAAGGTTTGAAGAGTGTCTTCTGGAAATAGTCTCAGGGAGTCCTCCAGTCTCAACCACTCCAGTAAGTCTGTTTTTTAAATTTTCTTAAAGGAATTCGAGGTTCTGTTCTACAGTTTTCTCCCATTCCGTCAGGGCCCAACTACTGTGGCACTGATTAGAACAGTTGGTAAATGGTACCTGGGCACTGTAAAGGTAGCCAGGCACCATCTAGTTCTGGTCTCAGGGTAGCTGAGGCCGTGGCTTGTGTAGACTGTTTTGTCTGGTAGACTAGTTTCTTCTTTGAGTCTTTAGTTTCCTTCTTTCTCTTTTGCTGTAGATGAGTAGAGACCAATAATTGTATCATCAGTGGCCATTCACAAGCTTTTAGGACCCCAGACAATACTCACCAAACTAGGATGTAGAATGTAACTTTATGAACTATATTATGCCAGTTAACCGATGTTCCATGAGACAGTGGTCCTAATCCTTCAAACCCAGAAAACCAATCCTGTGAGGTATTTATGTCTGAGAAGTATCCATAACTGTGCTTCCTATGTGCTTTATTATATATATGAATGGATGTGCATACAGTCACATAGATGTAGCAACGATTGTGAGGGTGGTGCAGGATGGGGCAGTGTTTTGTTCTGTTGTGCATAGGCTCGCTATGAGTCCAAACCAACTTGACAACAATGACAGTGTGTACACTTTCATATACACAGGTATACTCACATATACATATCTAGACACATATATGCCTACGTACATACAGATACACTTGCACATATGTTTTTTAGTTATTGTAAGAATGGCCTGGCGAGGGCATCGGACCTCCTTTAACTTCACAGGGGGGGAGAAGAGTCAAGGTCAACAGCCCAAGGCTGATTTCTGTGAGGTAGAGGTCAAACATACCTCCACACTCCAGCCTTTTTTTTTTCTTCTTTTTTTTTTTTTCTTCCACCAATCAGTTCCTAAGTCTTATTGTGATATATTTTAACTCACTCTTGAATTTACTACTAGCTCTTCTATGAGAAGATTCCTATAAGGCAGAGGTCAGGCATACTTCCTCTCGCCAGCCTTTTTTTTTTTTTTTTTTTTTTTACTAATTCTGACACCTTCCATGCTTCCGATAGCACTCTCTACTTCTCTGCTGAGTTTGGTAATTTGTTGCAATGGCCACACACAACTGAACAGATAATACTCACAGTTTTGAGGTTTATTAGAGAAGTAACAGGTTATAATTCAGGATCAGGAATGACTCAGGTTACAATTTTTGGATCTGTACAGCTTCTTTTCAGCCGTGCTCGAAGGCAGACCTCTCTCTGCTCCTCGGCCTCTCTCCCTGTCATCTGCCCTGCTCGGGCAAGTGTTACAAAGCTCTTTAGCTCCACCAGTAAGTGCCTGGAGGCATTCCACTCTGCCAGTAAGCCTTGACCTGAAGGTGCTTAGCTCTCTCTTGCTCTTGGGTTGGCACATCCACTGTAGCCACCTCACTCTGTGGGCTGGGAAGCCCACTGGCCATCTTGTACTGATTTCCTAGTTCTGCTGTCACCATTTCTTTGCTGCTGCTACTTGCCATCTCCAGTGTTACACCTGTCTTCTGGGTCTAGGAGGTTCTCAGCACAAGAACTCTGGGTCCAAAGGATGGGCTCCACTCTGGCTCTTCTTTCTTTGTGGTAGGGAGGGCCCCCCTCTGCTCTGGCATTGTCTGTCTTTTAAGCCTAGCGGGATGGCACAACTAACCAGCCCCCTCTTTAGGGTTCCACACACCTTATTTGTGTGGTCCCACCCCCACGAGGGTTCCATGCACCTTATTTGCATTATTAGCAAGCTGTCCAGTCCCCTTGGTGGACCACAAGCACCTTACCTGCATAGCCCCACCCACTCATTTTGTAGAAGTCACAATACCATAGTGAGAAAGGCCATATAAAAACGAATTCATTGCACTGCGGTTGTTTTTTTCTGTGGTCCTACTGTTGAGTTTTGAGAGTTCTTGTATATTTTAGATGTGACTCTTGTCAACCCTGGTAGCATAGTGGTTAAGAGCTTCAGCTGCTAAGCAAAAGGTCGACAGGTCATATCTACCAGGTGCGCCTTGGAAACCCTATAGGGTAGTTCTATTCTGTCCTTTAGGGTTGCTATGAGTTGGAATCAACTTGACGGCAGTGGGTTTGGTTTTTTTGGTTTTCTTGTCAAGTATGTGGTTTGTAAACATTTTTCCCCCTAATCTGTCACTTTTTTTTTCATCCTCTTAACAGGGTCTTTCACAGAGTGAAAGTTTTTCATTTTGATGTTTTTGTTGTTATGAGTTGATTTCAACTCTTAGTGACCCCATGTGAGAGTAGAACGGCATCATAGGGTTTTCTAGGCTCTAATTTTTTTTTTTAATTGTGCCTTAGGGGAAAGTTTACAGCTCAAGTTAATTTTTCATTGAAAAATTTATACATATATTGTTTTGTGACATTGGCTGCAATTCCCACAATGTGACAGCACGCTCCCCCTTTTCACCCTGGGTTCCCTGTGTTGATTTGTCCAGTTCCTTTCCCTTCCTGCTTTCTCATCCTGATTTTGGATAGGAGCTGCCCATATGGTCTTGTATATTTGATTGAACTAAGAAGCATATTCCTCATGTGTATTATTTTTTGTTTTATAGGCCTCTCTAATCTTTGTCTGAAGAGTGGGCTTCCAGAATCGTGTCACTTCTGGGTTAGCAGAGCGTCCAGAGACCCTAGTTTTGGAGGTTCCTTCAGAATCTGTCAGACTATTAAGTTTGATCTTTTTATGTGAACTTAGGCTGTAACCTTTACGGGAGCTGATTGGCAGGACTTTCTTCCCTGGTGCCGCTGAGTGTGTTCAAACCGCCAACCTTTCTGTCAACAGCTGAGTGCTTGGATGACTATAGGCTGGTCTACAGGCTATAAGTTGCCTTGGGTGAGATATCTGGGCTGTCCTA